TCTGTGCGGCTACTTTAAATGGATGATTTTTTTAGAAACAACTAGAAGGGACGTGCGAGACGCTGGCTATAATAATGGACCAATCGCATCACAATTTGGTGATCTGATAGATATGGTCCTTCCCTACGGAATGGCTTGGTTTTCTTTTATTTTCAAAATTGTAGCTTTGGGAGGTTTTCGGCCTTTAGCGGGGGCGGGGCTCTTTTTTGAAAAACACTTGTAACAGTCTCTGAGATCCAGGCGCTCAACAAGACGGACGGACAGACAGACAGACGGACAGACAGACGTAGGAAACGTTTCCTGCTGTGCGTTACACACAACCGTTATTCGCCGTATTTACTCTTCGAGTACCAGTTATAAAAATCATTATTTACGGTCCTGGAGAAAGAGAGATATATTAAAGCACTCTTTATTCATTCGGAATGGGATTTGATGGTAAATTCGCCCAAAAGGGAGAGCTTCAAAAGTTATTGACTAGTTCGAAGCCAACGCACAATGTTCCGAAGGTGGAGAAGGAGAAACTGAAAGCGGAAATAATTAATCGAAAACATCCGTCCGCACACACCCTTTGAGGCATAAACTGGAGCAGGACTTAAACTTAGCTAAAAACGAGAAGGGACGTGTGAGACGCTTCTTAAGCGTCTAACTTTTATACCCGTCACTCAGTACTACAACTGCACCTGCGGTGTTTTGTCAAATTTTAAATTTTTATTTCATCTGTCATCTACATCTACAACACTTCTCACACCAACACGCTCCTTTAGCTCGCCGCCCTTCCCTACGGAAACGTTTCCTTCTGTGTGTTACATACATTCACTTTGTGCACAAATCCAATATACCCTATTTACTCTTCGAGTACCGGGTATAATTAATGACAACAGGAGTACATGGAAGATACTTTTCTATCTGTGAATCTATCTATCGATTTTTGCTGGCCATGTCACCGAAAAATAACAATTAACCACATAAAGCGGGTGTGGATCATTTATCAGAAGGACTTTATTAGAAACGGGAAGTGACGTGTGAGACGCTTCTTACGCGTCAAAACTTTTATACAAGGACTCAGTACTACATCTGCACCTTAGCGGTGTTTTGTCAAATTTTAAATATTTTCTTCATCTGTCATCTACAACACTTCTCACACCAACACACAGAGGCAGCGCCCGCACACAAAAAAAAAACAAATATAAGCTGCGGGACGGGTGATCTGATAGATATGGCCATTCCCTACGGAATGTTTAGTTTAGTTTTCTTTTATCTTCAAAATTGTAGGTTTGGGAGGTTTTCGCCCTATTGCGAGGGCGGAAGGGGGCGTGGCTCATTTTTTAAATACACTTGTAACAGTGTGAGCATACGAAGTCTGGGTGCAAAATTTTGTGGCTGTAGCTGTTATGGTTTCTGAGATCCAGGCGCTCAACAAAACGGACGAACAGACGGATGGACAGACAGAAATGGCTCAATCGACTCAGCTATTGATGCTGATCAATAATATACTTTATGGGGTCGGAAACGTTTCCTTCTGTGTGTTACATACAACCGTTATTCGCACAAATACAAGATTCCCTATTTACTTTTCGAGTACCGGGTATAAAATAAAATAATACAAAAATAATAAAATAAAATGTAATTAGTGAACTCCAAAAAAGAACAAGATTGACGGCAGAAAAGACAAGCTGGGACCAGACCAGGCCAGGCCCAGCGCCAGTCGACTGGCCCAGTCCCTGCCCACGCAAAGGTATCCAATTGTGTGTCCGTCACTGTTCGCTAGTGCCTGTTCAGTGCTCGAAAGGGGAGTGGGCGAAACTTGAAAGAAAAGCTTGGTAACCGAATAGAACAGAAAAAATGAAACCCAGCCTTGTCCAGAGGGAAGTCCTAATTTATTAATGATACTTGGCCCCCACTTTCTGGAACTTTATTTATCCCCATTCGTGTCATTTGGATTCGTTTTTTTCTTGGAAAAATACCTTAAAGAGTAGAGTCCTAACAGCGCAGAAATTTACATGTCAAATGAAGCTTTTTTTTCCTGTTACATTTTATTCCACTAAAACCTGCCTGCATACAATTTCTGATAGCTTCGGCTGAGAGATTGACTCGTTTCGGGTTGAACTGTTTCTATTCGAACATCCTTTTTCGATATTGCGATTTATTAATAATATATTCATATAAACACTTATTTCTTGTGTCCTCACTATTTATTTACTATATTTTATATATCAGATTTATTAATTATCCTATTTACTATGTCAAGTCTTTTGTTTAGTCGCTCAGGCTATCTTAATATGTACACATGTACATATATGAATGTACTTACATATATATATACAAACATACATATGTACGTACATACAAAAAAAACGTACATATGTACGAATGCCTACTCATAGCGACATACTGACATATTAGACATTTAATATAATATATGTATTAATAGTATAGAGTAATATTAATACTATACTATATAATATAATAATAAATCTATATAAAATTTAATATAATATAATATGATAACTATAATAGTAGTAGTATATAATAGTAATTTAATTATATTCATATAATTCCAATCGGTATATGCAAAGGAAAAAGGACCACATTCAAAAGTCCCGTTAAGTGATTGAAGTCGCTGTGTTTTGCCTGAGTAAACATAGACTCTAGGGATCAATTAATGATTGATGGAACAACTTTATGTATTTAAGAGATAAGTGAAACTACCAGAAATCTTAATTGAACGAATCCTTGAGCTTAATTCGTGCACTAGCACAGGCACTTACTTGGGCAATCCACCTACCTCAATGCATTCCACAAATATTTTTAAATGTTCTTCCTGGAATTCCTTGGATCTCAAACCCATCCTTTTCGCTCGTTTTGGTACAAATCCAAAGCGCAAGCGAGTCGTTTAATCATTTCCTTCTTTGGTTCCTTGCTTACTGGACCTTCTGGCGCCGCATTCCCTGCCAATTGCCATACATTGCTGGTCATGGATATCGATAAACGATGGACCCAGTGCCGCTGCCAGCAGCTAATGGTGACCAAATGCAAACGTGTCCATGTGTGTGTGTGTGTTCATTTTCTTGTCCGTCCCTCCGCTGCGATACTGAACAATGGAAATGGCACTGAGGATGATAGTGGGATTTTTGATTTTTACTCGTGTGCATATTAATATGGCGTTAGTGCATATATCTAATCTATTTAATATATTAACAGTTATGCAGATCAGCTGAAACCACCGCCGCCGCACAGTGAAGCCTTAGCCAGAAAGAGGTGGCAAAATCCGAAAAATGTTGGAAAGCTTTGAATACAATGAAAATACGCATCTTCTACATGCTCAGATCAGGCTGAACTTTGTTAAAATCCCATACAAAATCGTATTTTTACGTTTTTTGCGGGACCGAAATTGATATCAATATCAAACGGCTCGAAGCACAGGACTTCACAAAAAGGTTAAGATATATCCAATGATGAGTTATATCGATATAGAACCCAAACGGCCCTAACTGAGTCTAAGTCTAACTGAAAAAAGGCCAAAAAATGGGGTCCATATGCTAATATCTCCGTATATTTCAGTCGTTGGACATGGGAGCTCTAAAAAGAAATCTGCAAACAGTTATTTAATAGAAATGTAACGTTTATATTTATACATATGTAAATTATATTTGGCTGAAAACAAAACTCAAAATTATTATGTTTAGCTAAAATACAACTAAACTTTATTTTTCGATAAATAAAAATATAAGTTGAGCCTTTTGTGCACCGAAAACAGGCAAATAAGAACCTTAATCAAAGTTGAACTTTGACTATTTATTTTAAACCTTTGATACAGTGCAGTATCATGGCATTGGTCAGACTAAACTTTGAAAGATTTTTCTGTTTAATTCAGTAAACTTTACGAAGATTTCTTGATTCGTTCAAACGTTATTAATTTAGCAAGCTGAAATGGCCGAAGTCCCCACTGTGCGTCGCCTGGCCATTAACTACAGCACCACAGGAGACATTATTTCCCTATTGCAGCTCTAAACCCTTCCAATGGTTGCTATTCGGCTCCACTCTGGTGGTAGCAGCCCTAGGAACAGATGAATGGGTGGAAAGCGCTCTAGCATCTCTCTCGATTTCTGGCCGATATTTGGCCAAGCCGAATCGAAAGCCAGCCAAAAGGCAAAGCCTCTGCTGCAACAGAAGGCGAGCTAGAACCCGAGGAACAAGTTATGGCTACACTCAGAGTCATTTGGAATTCATTTGGGGAATTCATTTCACGTGCGTGAAAATGTTTATGAAATTGATGACACCTCTTAGACAATGTTATTTCTTATTGATATAATTAAAAAGCGAAAAGGAAAGTTGTGGGACGAGTTTGTAAGCTTTTTTTCAAAGTGGCCGTATTGGGGTGGAGCGAATCACATGGAAATGCATGGAGAAGGGCAACCATGGTTACTAAACTTGCGATATAGTCGTTTTCTTACAAAATTGTACATACATACATTTGTACATCTACATCACTTCTCACGCCAACACGCTACTTTAGTTCGCGCCCCTCCCCTAGAGACACAGTCTCTCTAATTAATTTCTTCATTCTGGCTATAATAATGATAGAATCGGATCACAATTCAATGATTTGATAGATATGGTCATTCCCTACAGAACGGCGTTTTTAGTTTTCTTTCTTCAAAACTGTGGCTGTGGGAGACTCGCTCTTTGTGGAAGCGGGGCTCATTTTCGAAATACACTCGTAACAGTGTGAGTATACAGAAGTCTGGATGCAAAACTTGGTTGCCCTATCTCTTATGGTTTCTGAGTACTAGGCGCTCATAAGGACGGACAGACGGACGGACGGACAGACAGACATGGCTCTATCGACTTGGCTATTGATGCTGATCAAGAATATATATACTTTATGGGGTTGGAAACGTTTCCTTCTGTGCGTTACATACATCCTTTATTCCCCACAAATACAATATACCCTATTTACTCTTTAATATATATGTATGTTCTCTTTTTCGTTAACATAGCTGTCAGCTCGATGAAGCCGAACATGGACAGCACCAACTGCATCCTAGTGCAGGACGTCAAGTCACAGCCTCATGATCTGCGCGGAGGTCCGGGGGGCAAAGCAAACGACAAGAATGTGGGCGGGGCCACCGCCTATCCCACGGAGGAATCGATACAGACCAGCACCTCGGAACATGGCAGCAACGGACACGGACTGAATGGACCTGCGGTCGGTGCCGGAGGCGGCGGAGTAACAGGCATTCAGCAGCAGTTGCTTCTCCAGCAACAGCAGCCTCACTCGATCAACCAACCGCTGACGCCGATGGATGCGACCAACACCCAGCTGCAGGACCATCAACTGACCTACGGAGGCGGAATTGGCAACGTTATGGGTATTGGCCCAGGCTCCCTTAACGGACAAAAGCACAACATGCTGCTGGCCCAAGCGGGTGGCAGCGGGATGCACCACCACCAGGCGCTGCAGCCACAGCTTGGAGGAGGACAGTGGCCGCAGGTCGTTGAGCTAAAGGAGTTCAACGAGGTGTACCACGCGAATATACCAGCTTATCAGTTTTGGACTTTGGAGTTCCGCAACAAGCATCCAGCCTTTATTCGCTTCAACTTTACGCTGCCGTGGGGCGCCCACTTTGCCGTCTACTCGCGCCGGAACGTGGCCCCGTCGGTTACGCAGCATGACTTTGTGGAGTTCATCAAGGGCGGGCGTCTGGACAGTCACCTGCGGCACCGTCGCAGCCCGAGAAATGCCTCGACGATCGCCGGCAAAGACTGGGACGCGGTGTACCTCAACGAGCAGCAGCAGCACCTCCAAGACCGATTCGCGACACGGACAAGACCACAATTCAGTTACGAGGAGCAAGACCACGATGCAAGCAACGACGACCCCGACTCTGGCGAATTCTTCGATGTCGAAACGCCTCTGGACACGGCAAAGCACCTACAACGACAGATCCACTTCCAGCAGCAAAATCCACAGTACACACAGCATCCCCATGAAGTCAAGAAGCGCTCGGCTGTAGATGGTGGCGGCTTGCCCGCCCTCGACATAGACGCGATGACTGTGAACGTTTCGCTGCTGCAGTATCTTGACACTGGACTCTGGTTTATTTCCGTCTACAACGACGAGTTGGTGGCCCACTCCGTCTCGCTACTGGCCGAAGAGGCCGAAGGCGTCAGCACCACCTGCCCAAACGACTGCTCCGGTCGTGGAAGTTGCTACCTGGGAAAGTGCGACTGTATCGATGGCTACCAAGGCGTCGATTGTTCTAAAAGTGAGTCTCCGAATATCCGTTTCCCCCTTTTCATTTCTTTGTGTTTGGGTCATGCCATAAGTTGACCTGTCAACACCTCCTTTTCCGATACTCCGCAAAGGAAAAACCAAGAAGCCAAATCCACTCTGAAAGTTTTCGGCGGCTACTTAGACGTATTCCTTAAGGGAACAGTGGTTAGGGCTCTGGATTTGGTTTCTTTAAATAGACTCTGAAAATATTTTCATTTCCTCTTTAGTCTTTAAAAAACGGCGTATTTCGCTCACATACATAACAGTAGAGCCGCAGTCCTTGCCGCCTGTTACCAGCATGTTCACCTGTCAAATTTTAACCATCCTCGACCCACTGTTCAGGTTCAGATCTTATTTTTATTTGCTTTCCCCCTTTTTCCCACTTTTTGCCATATTTTTCCACCCCTTTTCACTGGAACTGATGCCTTCTATTTCCGTTATTTTGCAGGCGTTTGTCCGGTGCTGTGCTCGGCGCATGGCCACTATGGTGGCGGCGTCTGCCACTGCGAGGACGTCTGGAAAGGAGCCGAGTGCGACATTCCGGTTGGCGAGTGCGAGGTCCCCAACTGCTCCAGCCACGGGCGGTGCATCGAGGGAGAGTGCCATTGCGAACGCGGCTGGAAGGGACCGTATTGCGATCAACGTAAGTGTCAAGGTCTCTCCTCCGTTATGCTTACTTGGCATAAAAATGTTTGAGTTTTGTGTCTCTCCGGCCCTCGTTCTCTGGTTTCCAGTTTAGTGACCTGTTTCCTGCGTCCTGGGCCGATAAGAACGCCACTCCCGGGTAGGAATGGGGAGATGATGGGACGACTAAAGTGGATGCAAAAATATTGCAGGTATTATGCCGAAATCGGCTCATGCTCCTGCTCAATATCGTGAAATTTTGCAAAGAAATGCAAAACATGTTTCAGTCCTTCATTTAAAAGGGGGAGGTGGAGTTTTCTCGGCTCCAATCTACCCATACGAGTCTTTGAATGCTCCTGGCGTCTCGGCGACGCACACAGATTGAAATTTAAAAAGTTCCATGTAAAATAAAAACCTGTTGAATAGCTCTCAAGAGAAACAACAATAGAAACAAATTAGTAAATCGATTTTCAGGAGAAAAGTATTTTAAAAATACAAAAAAGTTAGAAAAGAGCCAGTGACTTAACCAACTTCAAAAGTATATGCATTTTTGCTTTGGAGGAAAATATAGGTTTATCGAATGTTGGGCTCAAGTTGGTAATACTTAGTTTTCAAGGTGCACAGAGAGATTGAGAGTTAAAGTATAAAACCAAGCAACGAGTATGTGAACTTTAATCCTTATAAAGTACATGCCCATAAAGCTACGCTTCTCCACTCTCCATCGCCGCTTACATACGTGTCAATAAAAACAATAAACACTGGCACTCTATCGTTCTGGTTCGTAGGTTGTAAAACAACCAACAACAAAATGCGAATAAAATGCAACATTCTACAATACATGGCTCCGAAATGCCTCTGTGTACCCCGTTGCCATATCCTTGCTACCATTTTTTATATGCTTACTGTGGCCTCTGTGCCACTGGCATACGAAAACAAACAGGGACACAACAAACAGAATCCGAAACAAAAACGGGAACGGGAACAGAAACAAAAAGAATAAAACAAATAATGAATGAGAGAAAACAGAAGACGAAGGAAAGGAAAACGTTGAGCAAACATAAAACGTATAAAATCGAATTTATATGTCGAAGGCATATTCCTCATACACATGCCGGGGGGTGGGTGTAAACAAGGAGCGAACTTTAAGTCGGCCCTGCCGAGGGGTCATGGAGCATTGAGTTTTGAGCACAACAAGCAGGAGCCAGCAAAAAATTGCAACAACTGCGCAAAATTCACCAACTTGAACTAAACTGGAATTTCATTTTAATGACCACTTTTGTACGTGTCTAACATACTTATCATGTTGTATGTGTATCAGTGTTGACCAGGATAAGAAACAGAAAGAAAGAAAGATGGAAGAAGAAGGAGCTGGTGGAAACATAAGCCAAATGGACACCTTGATGGGGCCAAGCTTTTTGTGTGGACAAGACTGTCACGACTCATTCTTCATTCGCATTCCTCTCGAAGGAGTCAGGGTACACACTCCATCAATTACACGATACAACACATAAAAAGGATAATATGCAGATGCTGTTGATCACTTTTAGAGCTCGGATCTGAAAATAAAATGTTGTTTTAATTATAGTTCCAGGATTAGGTTTTATAGCTCTGCACATTCGTGGGAAACATTCGATACTATCTATGGTTCATTTTGCCTTCTTTTGAGTGTTCACTTATCATACCGTTTGTCTGTCTTTTTCTTTGTACACCCACCTCAGAAATATACCTATATTCATATCTACATGGTGCATACGTGTGCGACTAACAAATGTTTTGTATTCTTTCTCTCCACCCGCTTCAAACAACCATCAACCAATCTACCATTCCCGAATGCGCCCTCTTCACCTGCGTCGCACAGATGACTGCCTTGATCCATTGTGCTCGGGGCATGGAACCTGTGTGGCAGGACAGTGCTACTGCAAGGCCGGGTGGCAGGGCGAAGACTGTGGCACGATTGATCAGCAGGTTTACCAGTGCCTGCCAGGCTGCTCCGAGCACGGAACATACGACTTGGAGACTGGCCAGTGTGTGTGTGAGCGCCACTGGACGGGACCGGATTGTTCGCAAGGTAGGTACCCTCACGCAGAACCTCGCAGAAAGAGTATCTGAATCTGGATATGGACATGGCCCTGGATCTGGGGATAATCTCAATAAAACAAGACGCTTACGAAGCCACAAAATGGCCAAAGGACACGTCTGCTTCTTTCATTGGCACGCAATCCTAATTTGCGTCAATTTTTTAGCACCAGCATGCCATGCAGGTGGTAATATATGTAGGTGTAGTCTCGACTGCAGACGTAATGAAGCAGAGCTTCATAAACATTTATTATTTATTTAATATCCAGGTTTTTCCCAGCTTCAGCTTCACTTTTATCCTTGGATGGTGCTCCTGACCTCCGACCCCCTTTTAGAGCTGAAACATATTATAAATTTTCGTCTGCGACTGTTAAAAAGTCCCTCTACGGTCCCGCTCCGCTCCTGAATAAGAACCAAGCCATAAGTTAAGGCACTAAATCAGTTAGCCGGGACAATGCTTAAGTCGATTCCTGAATGAAAAAATCCATAACCAATCTATAAAGGTTTCCACAGAAATGGGACAGATTGAACCCAAGAAAGAGTTCATCGAGGGGAACAAACTTTTAAGTCACATTTTTCAGTTATAATTATAAGGAATCACTCGGGAAAAATTTTAAATTACAAATAATTCCAGCAATAAACTCTAATTTCTATCGATTCGTGAATGAAATTAAAAATATATAAGAGAAATAATGAAAAATAGATAAACCATCTATAAATGTTTCTTGTCAAAAATTAAACAGAGAACAGAGAAATAATGAAAAATAGATAAACCATCTATAAATGTTTCTTGTCAAAAATTAAACAAATTCTGAACTAGCACAAGGCAAGAGCAACTCCTAACTCAGTTAGAAGAAAGTGTCATGAACGAACGCGTAGTTCAATCCACTCTAGATTTATTCATACACCATGAGCCCTTCGCATTTCTGTTTTGGGCATATGGCGGTATATGGGTGTTGGAGTGGCGGAGATTGTTGGCACGTACCACTTTCATGTAACATTTATAATGTTGTTTTTATGGTTCAACCGTTGTACGCACCTCCTGCCGTTCCAATTTAATTCCTGCTCCTCCTCCGACAACATGGCGATGGTTGGTCCTGATGGATGTCTTGGAGAGTTTTAATGAATTTAAACGAGCATATGGCCAAATGTGTGGAGCAATCACAACGAATTGCTAGACACAGACCTTAGCTCTGTATTATTATTACGTATACCTTAATAGCTTCTCTTTTTCTTCTTCACAGCTGTTTGCAGTCTGGATTGCGGTAGGAACGGAGTGTGCGAGTCCGGTAAGTGCCGCTGCAACACTGGATGGACGGGCAACTTGTGCGATCAGCTGCCCTGCGATGCTCGATGCTCGGAGCATGGTCAATGCAAGAACGGGACCTGCGTTTGTTCTCAGGGATGGAATGGCAGGCACTGCACCCTGCGTAAGTACAGAAATTAAAATAAAAAAATTAAACATTTTTAAATCTGCTGTGGCTGTTCTCTTTCCTTGGCGGTCTTTTGGGCTCGACCCAAACCCATCGATCATCCTTTGCTACCCGCTGCATGTCAATCGATTTCAAATACATTCCCTGCCAAGCGACAGTGGCATTGGCAGCAAACACAGTCGCTGCTGTTGCAACAACACTGTCGCTAAATGTCGGAGCCGGCTATCCAAAGCCAGCAAAAAATCGTCAGCAGAAGCAGTAACAACTTTGCGGTGGTTTTTCTAAATGCCACTTCCATTGCTATTGCCATAGCTATTGCAATTGCTACAGCCTTTTGCCTCTCCCTTATCCACAGTTCCTGTCCCAGTCTGAGTTCCTTATCCACAGTCGCTGTACCCCTACCTTATCCTCTATTAATGTTTCTGCTGTCATGTATTTGAGCAATTAGGTTATATTGTACTTGTTCTCGAAAGTATTTATGGATGTAAGGAAACGTTTCCGACCCCACAAGGTATATAAATTCTTGACTAGCGTCAAAAGCCGAGACTATGTATGTCTGTCCGTCTGTTCGTCTGTCCGTCCGTTTTGTTTGTCGGCTAGTACCAGAGACTATCAGAGCTGGAGCCACCCAATTTTGCATCCAGACTGCTGTGATAAGTGCATTTCAGAATTTGGCCCTGCCCCCTTCCGCTTCCACACAGGGCGAAAGTCTCTCATATCCAACATTTTGAAGATAAGAGAAAAATAAAAACGCCATTCCGTAGGGAATGACCATATCTACAGATCACCGAATTGGGATCCGATTGGATCATTATAATAGCCATATATGTAGATCATTAATATTATTTGCAGTGGCTAAACCCAACCCGTCCAGCAGCTTTTGTTGTTTTTTCACATTCTCTCATTCACACTATGCTTCTGCAGTGCGCGGCCGTTGCCTCTGCCGCGTCTCTGCCTCTGCCATGACTCTGCAGTGTGTGGCTCTAGGGAAGGGGGGCGAGCTAAAGAAGCGTGTTGGAGTGAGAAGTGTTGTCGATGTAGATGACAGATGAAGAAAAAATGTAAAATTTGACAAAAAACCGCTTAAGAAGCGTCTCACACGCCTCTTGTCGTTTTTTTTAGTTGTTTGCACATTCTTCTCTCATCCACGATCTGCTTCCTTTTTTTTGCTCAAAAATAAATCTCAACTTTAAATTGTGACTCCATCTTACCTAGAAAATACAAAAGTTATATTTATTCTTCATCAGTGAGACAAGAGCAACCATAATAATAAAAACAATTTAAACAAAAATGTAAAATAAAAATATTTCCTAGTGCAATTTATTTATATATATGTATGTACATATTCATTTAATATTGAATTTTGCATAAAGTAGCTTCTACTCCAAAGAAAAGTGGGCAGCCATATTCGGCAAATGAGTTCATCAAGAACATAAGCAATGAATGTTTTCATAAAGGCGTAAAAGATAAGAGATCGTATTCCTCTTATGCGTGTGGCTGCTGCTCTTGGCTATGAGTTTTATTTTTGAGCAAAAAATAAAACTCAACGACTAATTATTATTTCTTGAGTTTTACATTTTTGCTCATTATTGAGTGAGTACTAAGATATAACTCAAAATTAATCATTATATTGCGAATATTTCGATATAACTTGACAGGTAATCGTTAAGGTATAATTTTTTTATACCGCTTATAATGATTACCACCTGGTATTGTTAGAAAGGGGGTACTGGTGTGTGCAGTGTGTGTATGCACGCCCTTTGTTACACATGAAATGAGCCTTAATTAGACTAGATTAGAAACTATACTGTACAAAAAAATTTTCCTTGGGGAAATGGGCTTCCTTGATTTTTGAGTTCGATCCTACTCAGAGCCAGTTGGCATTTCACAGATTTCGCTGATGTCGGACCCATACTGTCAGAATGGGGAGCTGGACCATGCTCTAAAATTTGTGACAACTCTTGCTGTTATTTGCAATATGTGTGGCCAAACACGCACTCAGGATGCAAGAACGGAGAAAACAGGCTTAGAGACTCGTAAAGAGGTAGTCAGTTAGCCTACCTAAGGTAGTAATTTTATGCACCGCAAACTTTTAACATAACGGAAGCTGGGTTAGCAGGGCTTTACCAGAACCGTCTCTCCCTTTGCAAATGACACATGTCAAGTAACATTAACTTTGCGTGAAATGCTATCGTGGGACAAACAAATAAAGGCCAAACGACGAGAGAAGAGGGAAAAGAAGAGCAAAGAGTAAAGGAGACAGAAAATAATCTATCGGTAGGCTACGTATGGTTGGGTCTTTATGTTTGTCGAACATTCCGTTGAGTGTTCGCTGATGATGATGACGCCAAAGGTTTACTTTGCTTTTCCTTCTATCCCTTGCTCGACGGAGTGAGTGTGCAAACATTAAAATTATTTTTATATTCATGATGTCGACAATGAGGTGGAACATCTAGGTGTGATGGTGGATAGATTGGTGGACTGTAATGTTATCATTCAATTTGAAGGCCCAGCTTTCGGGAGGTGTACTCTGTATTAAACCGAACAAACCATTTCCAAACTGGAACTCCACTTAACGTGTAGTCTTATATTAATATTGCAGCCATTTAAGGTATTTGATAGATAATCCGGCCACAGGTGTTAAATATATTATTTTTACCTTTATCTGGGTATTATAATATGGTTTTGGCATAGCCGATGGGCGGTGCGAACAACATGGGCTTTTGCCAACAACACCAAGCAACAGTGTTCTCCTTAAAAAATTTTTAAATATTTATTTTTTAAATTGCCATTTTAAAATGCTCTTACTGATCGAAAATCATTAATATCGAATCCCTAGCTGGCTGCGAGAACGGCTGCTCTCGACATGGACAGTGCACCCTGGAGAACGGCGAATACCGATGCGACTGCATCGAAGGCTGGGCTGGAAGCGACTGCTCGATAGCCCTGGAACTTAACTGCAAGGACAACATTGACAATGATGGCGGTAAGTGGGGGTAAAATTTAATCATACACTCCTGTTACGAAGGTCTTTATCTCCGTTTCCAGATGGGATGACTGATTGCTCTGACAGCGAGTGCTGCTCGCATCCGGCCTGCTCGGAGCACATCATGTGCCTGTCCTCTAACGATCCCGTAGAGGTGTTGCTCCGCAAGCAGCCGCCCTCGGTGACGGCCTCGTTCTACCAGCGCGTCAAGTTCCTAATCGAGGAAAACTCTGTGCAATCGTACGCCCACATGGATGAGTACAGCGAAAAGTAAGTGGCCAACCATAGCGATAAGTAACCCCCTACAAGACTATACCAAATAGAGATGGCCCATTTATCCATATATCTCAATATGTTTACAAATATGTACATAATAGATACGGGTCTAATTCTTAGTGCGCAGTCTAGGCCTACAGGGAAATATAGACATATAAGTTACAGGTTCTTGCCCTCCATTGAGCGAATCTAGCACTTCCTTCCTGTGTTTGAATCTATTGTTTCCGTTACCATTAACGTTTCCATTTTACGTTCGCTATAAGTTTAGTTGGTGAATCGGTTGCAGGCCGCGGCGTCATTCATCTTGCACCTAAAATGAGAACGTAAGGCAGAACGATCTGCCCGGCCCGCAGATAATTATAAACTTTACATTGGAATCTCGTTTGAACTTTTTCCGTTTCGGTTCTGTGTGTATTCTTTAAGCTTTATGGGTGCAATGAAGAGAAAAAGCTCAAATTATTTACATATATGGATGTTCCTATATGTGTGCCTATATACATCCGTATTGAACACCATATCGATCTATATATTCACACATGTACACATATTAAATCTTTTTATCTTATGCTTTTCACCAAAATAGTTTCCAAAACAGAAACCAAAAAAAAAATTTATTTTGTTTTTGTTTACCAGTTTTTCAACTAAATACACTTCAAGTAGTCTCAATCAATCAAAAAATCGATCAAATTGAAAGCAAAAAAAAATGAAGACCAAAGCTAAAAAGTAAAAAATCTTAACCCATTCACATTCCCACAATCCCGTACGCCTCTCTCCCCTCAATGAGTCTATCATTTAAGCGCTAAAAATATGTTAAAATGAAGAAAGAAAAAAGACAAATTGTTTAATTTTTGGCGTTTTCTTTTCTCTTGTTCCTCTGAGTTCCGGTTCCTTCTGTACCTGCATTTTTTCGGGGATATTCTGTTGATATCTTGAATTCTGTTTGGGATTTCTGTTTTATTTTTTCGTTGACTTCCGAATAAAATATAGAACATATTTGGAGATTTGAGCTTTTTCTTTTCTTGCCTGCCTGGGATCGGATCAGATAAAGATCAGATCGAAAAAGATAGAGTTATTTGTATTATTTTGATTATTTTACCATTTAGTTGATTTTCTTGATTTACGTATGCGAAATATCAGTAAATATTTCATTTCGATTTGATTCTTCGTTTTAATTTTTTCAAGCCAAAACAATTCTCTCAAACAAAAATAAAAAATTCAGAGCAATACGAGAAAAGCCAAAAAATCATCAAAAGCGAATATATAATGATAGCACTTAATTGAGTATGTGTGTTGTCTAGTGTACTACCCCTTGTGTTCGTCTTACCCAAAAAAAAAACCAAAAAAAAACAACAATAAAACTTGAAAAAAATGAAATTAAATTCTATAAAAGACGGATATATAAGACTAAAGAAAATCTCTACGATAAGTATATGTATGTATGATCTCCAATCATAGTCCTAGCTCTAACTAAAGCTGCGGTCAAAGACCTAGCTAACAGTTTGGAAGTTTACTTTATATTTAATTTGCTTTCTGTTGATTTCCTTAACGTTCAGATTACCTTTGAAATATATATTGCAGATAGTGTATACATATATATATATATTTATAGTTCTTGAATATTTAGCGTGAACTCTTTTGTTGTTGCTTTGATTTCGATTTCGGTTTCCATTTTTGTTACGATTACATCCCCGGATAATAACTTCGCTGATGCCTAGATCGAATTGAGGATTCCCAAAGAAAGGTGGAAATATGAGCGAATCGATTTGATTTATTTGACTTCATAGTCAACGCGTAGTTTCAGTTTCATTTAAACTTTCATTTTCCTTTCATTACATTTTGTTCGTGCATTAACCAACTAACCATACTAAACCAACCAAGATGAAACCAAAACCCTAAAGATGTCTGCCGAACTCCGTCTCTGTCTTCGTCTTCGTCTTCGTCTCACCATCAGACTAAGTGTGTTTGTCAAATGTGTTTTTTGAGTTTATTTTTTTATGTGTCTACTGTTTTTTTTGTTTTGTTTCTTTACTCTTTCGTTCACTAAGCTATACAAGTAAAAATCTCAACTTTAGGTATGCTAAAAGTAAAAAAAAAATATAAAAAAATACCAGAAAATTATTACAAATTCTTAAGCAATATTAAAGTTTTAATAATTCGTTAACGAAACGCATTTTTGTCTTTTAATTTCTTTTTTATTGTCCTGTCAATTACTTGTGTACTGTCCTACTCTGTTGCTGTGGCTCGATACCTTCATGTTGTGTGCTAAAACAAAAATCAAATCTAAATCGTATTTCAACACCAACCGAAATGCATTTCCCACATGCAAATCAATATCCAAATCAAAAAAATAAATTTAAAAAAAAACCTACGTTTTCTACCCGTGAATTTGTAGTCTCTTCTGGAGCTCGTTCACACCTTGGTAAGTCAAAAAAAAAGTACAAATAAAAAACAAAAAACACTTGAAAAAGAAACACAGGTGTAACCATTTGGGTTTCCCAAACAAAAAAGAAAAACCAAAACAAAATTCTTTGTTATAGTCGCATCTTCTTCAGTTGATTCTGGATTTTATGTTACCCTCATCCAAACATCCATCCATCCATTCATCAACAGAACGCATCTTGTACCCGACTAGTTTGTTCGATTTCAGTTCTCATAACGTAAAATGCATCCGAACCGCAAGGCGATTTTTTTTCATCCCACAAGTTAAGACGTACATACATGTATCATATTACCGAATCCCATCCGCTGTCTACCCGATCTTTCCCTCTTATTTACAGCTAACAACAATCTTAGGGATCAGAGCTTTTTCAAAGCTCCAAGATCAAATAAAAATACTCAAAATCGAAGTAAAATGTTATCAAGTAGTCAAAGAAAGAATCACAAAGTCACAAAGACTTCCTTTTATTTCAAGTTTGATAGATGACAATTTTCCTCGAAATCTGTTACAATATAAAATATGTATTACGAGTTTTCTGTGATTTCCATGGCCAGTGGTAAATGGTCATCTGCATCTTTTGCAAGCATTCGGCTTCCTTTCAGTTGTAATTACTTTTCAAATGAGCCAGATATGTAGACCATTCTGCTCCCATCTCCATTTCCTGCTTTCAGCTCGTTGCGCTTCCCTTGCTTGTCCTATAATGCCATTTTGTTGATTTTAAATTACATTTTGACATACGAAAACAAAAAACTCAGTTTAAAAAAATATCGAAAAGTCAAAAGCATTCATGTAAATATAACACATCAACTAAAACTGCAACAACAACAACAAATACAACATACAAAAGACAAGAAAATAAAATAATAATGAAAAATGCATTCATAATTTTGTACCTCACAGACCCCCACTGTACTTGTACCCCACTACCGCGCACTTACATTTCATGGATATATTTTGTTTATTCTTTTTGCATATTTTGTTGTTAATTTCAACTTTTTTTTAAGGAAAAATGATAATTGAAAATAGCCGAATATCGATATATGGATATGTATATATCCCCCAAAAATATGTATAACATATATATATATACTATATATATATATATATATATAATTGTATGTGTTATGTGTACCGTGTCTATATGTGTATTTAGTTTGATTTCCCATTTTTGTTTTCCGTTTGCCAATCAATCAATAAACAGTATTAACACTCACACTAACCCAAAACAGAAACCCATCCGCCACAAATCATCCTGATATCTATCTGCCTATTCAGTTAATGCCCATCGTTTTTCCTCCTATATTTTCTCATTAATTTGGCATGTAGTCTCTTGGAAAGGAATTTTTCATTTCATTTCCTAGACGTTCTTTAGACACTTCACTTCAACAATATTTCTCTCTCTATCTGACTATCTATCTCAATCACAGTCTTACAGTCACTTACACCATATCGTTTTTAAGTTGTTTAGCCCATAATTTTCCACTTTCTCTCAATATTTAAGTTTCCGTGTATTTTGTTTGTTTATATTTTGTTTGAATTTGATCAAAGCTTCTTAAGGTAAACAAATCTCATTAAATGTGAATCACTTTATTAGTTATCTTTTTCGATTACCGATTATATGTTATCTGTTTATTTTGTGTTAAGAAAAAAAAATAAATAAATTTAAAGAAATATGTAAACAAAAACAGAATCAGCAAACAGACCCCGATACCAGAGAGTATGTCCTCACTTGCTCGATCTACCAGTTAGGTATTCCTTCTCCAAAACCCAAAATAAAAACCTCCCGCAGATCAACATCTGACAGAAATGCAGCTGTAAAAAAAAAATCAAAAAATATACAATCCGAGTATATACGAGTCCATACTTAAGCGAAAAACTCAAGTAAAACGAAAGCAAACATCTTTATATCCCTATATGTTTCAACTTAAAACAAAAACCAACAAATATAACAAAAAAAAAAAGAAAAGATCAAAAAGTTAAAGACAGTAAAAATATGAAACAAATAAATAAATATCCCAATAAACACCTAAACGTATCCCTAAATGTCCCTATTGTCTGCGTCTAAGCCATTTGTTTATATGTTTTCCAAATACAACAAAACTCGCCCACACAATCGCATAAACCCACCCATCCATCCATCCATCCCACCGCCAACACAGAGATATCTCCATTAAAGCTGTATAAAAAAATATATATAGCTAAATAAAAGCACACAAAACAATTTAAAAAAATAAGCAAGGAACAAAAATTTGTTTTAAAAAATTCAGAATGCAAATTATTTTATCAAGTTCTGTGTTTCTTTGTTCGGTTTCCATGCTTTAATTTTTTAATTTTTTCTACTAAATATCTTTGAACTGTCTGCGCTAAAAGGTGGTATTTTTCACGGCTATTGGGAAAATGTGATAAGCGTAAATTTAATTATGAGAAAAGAGTAGAGGAAGCCTAACTTCGGCAGGCCGAAGCTTGGAATACCCTAGCCTTGTGGTATGTACTTGCACCAGGCGGTCTAAATTGAATAGATATTTGTGAATTTATGCATATAAAAGCTTTTATATGAATCAAAAGCGTGTCCCATAATATACAATACCGAAAACCCTCTGCAGCCCAATGAAAACTTCAATTCTACACGACAATCAATGGAACTCTTCTCGGTAAAGTTTGAAGCCCCAACTAGGATAGGGTATAAAAATGTTTTTATTAAAAAACTGTTTTATGTCCAACTAAATCTAAATTGAAAAAATAAAGAGCCTTAATTTATAATCGATCACACCGGGGCAGGGCTGGGCGTTGAGCCTTCAACTAATAAAAAGATAAGTCCGGCTAATGAAGTAACCCTTCGCTAGAGTTATTGAATAAAAAACCATCGCCATCTCTGGATATTGTTCCTTTCAATTGGAATAACCTCTGGGAACCATCCTCCTCGATAGCAAAAACCAAAGTAAACCGCAACCCGAATGTAATCAGCTTAGTGCGTTGTGCCCTGTTTCTGCGATACATACTACGTACCTTTCAACGGCTCTTTCGATAAAGCTAAAGCCAGCCATAATGATATAGGTTGAGGGAATAGCTTAAGTATATATTTAGGCATAGTCACTTATGCTCTATTCAACTTTTTGTTGCAGCGCACGGTAAATGTCTCCTCCTTTTAGCAGTTTGTTGTCCCTGCTATCCTTGCAGTCCTTGAATTGCCATCTTCCGTCTATCCTGTTGTGGTGAGGCAAGCATGCTGCACACAGCAAAGTGTGCTGCGAGTATAGTGTCTAAAAGGGTGTTGAGGGTACTCGTAGATGTTGTTCTTGCTGTTCCGTAGCCTGTGTGCCAGCCTTCGCTACCGACACCACGAGCGCAACGAAATTACAGGGCAATAGCGCAAGAAACCGAATTTTCTGAAAAATCTTTCCCACATTTCATGCCCTCATAGCTCCTCCTATATCATATATTATATACTGTATGTACATATATATATATATATATATATATATATATACATATGTATGTATATGTTGTACGTTATTTAGACTTTAATAACATTTTATTACTTACACGAAAAGGATAATAGGGTACTATGTCTTCAAACACAAATTGTAAATCTAGAAGAAGGATCTGTTCAAAATATCATATATTTACATATGTACGTACATACACACTTTTCAATTTACTTCCAAAGAAAAAAGATTGAAAAAGTATCATTGGATGTTGACGTTGAAAGGACTATATTTAAAAAGATACTTTATGGGTTATAGACGCATCTTCATAGCCATAATACACTCTCGTCTTCTTAGATATTATGAGGAAAATAAGAAAGAAACCGATGGCATCCTGTCATAAAGGATACCATGAAGTGGGAGTAAAAGAGGGACAACAGATGATGATGCAATGGAAACTGCGTGACTTGGCTCGAATGCTTCTTCTTGTTCCCTTCACTGCTGTAATCGTCACCTTTACGATAGAGCCAAAGTAAATGTGATACGGGTATGTCATAAGAAAAAGCAACGAAGCAGAATATAGATGTGTCGGAGAGTGAGGCTGCGGGCGAGGGGAGGGAGGGAGGGTGTTTGGAAGACGGTGCGTCGTCGACATCGTCCTCGTCTTTGGCATTGGATTAGCTTTGTTTGCCTCGTTTTTGTTGCTGCTTCTGCTGGCTATTTTCCTTTTACCTCTTTTCTTTCTTGGGTTTCTATAAATTATTTTTTTTTTGTGTTGTGCCTTTGTAGTACTCAAGTGGCATCTTTTTGAAAAGGGATGGGGCAGGGACTGAGCCAGGGTCTGGGACTGGGATTGCGACTGCGGCATGCGGTAGAGGATCAGGAACAATGGGCCAGCGCCATCAGGCGCCCTTTCGGCCAGGTCCATTGTAAAAAGTTCTTGCTACTTGCAGACGCGAATGCAAAAATTGTTAACAATAGAAAAAAAAAAGAAGAGGAGTGGCCCAAAAGTAGGCGAGGCGAGAGTGCTAAAGGAAGTGGCAGTAGCAGGAAGCAGCCATAACCAGAACGAACACTTGAATGAAGTCGAAAGTTGGCTGGCGGACGATGAAGCAACGATGTCTAAAAATTAAACATTAAACAATGGCGGAGCTACTATAGATTACTTCCTGTTTTGGCTTTCATTTTGTTTTGTCCAACAACTTAAAGGGAGGAGGAGCAGTGCTACGGAGGAAATGCTGGTGTCTTTTCTTGTTTCACTCTGAAGAAGTACGTTCAAGGATCTAGGCCAGTTGACTCCAACGGCCTGCTGACGGACTGGTGAGGTGTGGCCGGTTTCCCGTTTAAGTGGTTTCCCTGCTACTCTTTCAATTTATTCTCTCCCTAAAAACTCTCTCCTCCTCTTTCGTCTCTCTTCTGTGTGTGTTTGTGTGTGTGCACCACAAGTCGGACACATTTGTGTATGCAAATCCAGTTTCCTGCGTTAGGGCTATAGCTAAACTGATTAGTGTCAACTTGCCAGAATACATCAAGTGGATGCTGTGGAGAGTGTAAAGC